ATCGGATCATTTATCTAATATATGATGGGATGGAATCTTATATACTTCCAGGCCTTCGATCAATGAAAAATCAAAACCACACAGCGGAATAGGGTCATGCCGATTCAAAAAATTCGGAACAAAAAATATTGAACAAAAGCACAACAAACAATCTCAAAAAAAGTTCGCCCAGATTTTATATGAAAAACTCGAGAATGGAAAAAATCACGAAAATACCACTAGAAATCTCAGCAATGAAGAATTAGAAATGCACAGAGATACACACTCATTTCTCCTCTCTACAATAAATAGAATTTACACAAATTTGTTCCAAACCATTCTCTTGGTCTTACATGAGAAATCCTTGCTTCAAAATTCTCCTCCTGACAATTCACCTCAAGAAACATCGCGCACAAAAGTCGTAACCTTCGTCGCTTGAATCAAAAGCTTTAAAACAAATCAGAAGAGAGAACCAAACTTGGCACGACCACTCCTGGGCATAGGAGTATCACACACTTTGGAACCGGGTGCACAAGTGCTTGAAATGCAGCGTGGGAGGGATGTTGACCACAGTGCGGGTACACCATATGGGCAAGGATGACTAGCGTTCTCTGTCTGCAGGCACGGGTGTGTAGCACCATAAGCTTTCCTTAGTGCTCCTTATTGTTGCCTGCCACATGGAGACTGATTTGCACCCCAATATCTCTTCACCATATATGCATCTTCATCTGTAACATCTTCATAGTCACGTACCATGGTGTGGCTCAACTTCGGTCTGAACCTCTATGGACTTCAACTGAAGCCAAACATAGCTCTAGTTTCTCGATAATCACCACATCCGCATAATTCTGAGCTCTGTGTATCTTCTCCAAGAATAATTGCCCATCTTCTAGGCGAGAGTATATAAAGTGATACCTCAATTGAATGTGTTTTGTTCTAGCACTAAAAACAATATTTTTAGCAAGATAAATCACACTTATAATGTTACTATGAAGCTTTCCAATCCACTGCTCCTTGCACAATTTTCTCATAAAGCTCCATAGATAAATCATATCATTGCTAGCCTCAGTAATAGCAATGCATTCGGCATCACTAGTTAAAAGTGCAACAATCTTCTGCAGATTGAAGACCAAACTCACTATTGTGCTCTCCAAAATAAAAATATACCATGCTAAACTTCTACCATACAAATCTCATGCCATATTTGAATCAAAATATCTCTATAGAATGATCCTAATACTTTTATATCAAAGTGTACGGTTGATTGTTTCTCTCAAATACCCGAGTATTGACTTCACTATCTCCTAATAATTTCTGTCTAGATTACCCATGTACCTGTTGATTACTCCCATTGCATATATAATATTTGGTATGATACGAATCATAACATACATCATACTTCCAACTACTAAAGCATACGGAGTTCTCCCCATTCGTGCTTGCTCTGTTTTAAATTTAGGCGATAGCTTCTTAGATAGTTTGAAGTGACTACATAAGAGAGTGCAAACTGGCTTTGTCTCACTCATGTTGAACTTCAATGAGATCTTCTCAAGATATTATTCCTGAGACAGCTTTAGCATATACGAATCATAACATACATCATACTTCCAACTACTAAAGCATACGGAGTTCTCCCCATTCGTGCTTGCTCTGTTTTAAATTTAGGCGATAGCTTCTTAGATAGTTTGAAGTGACTACATAAGAGAGTGCAAACTGGCTTTGTCTCACTCATGTTGAACTTCAATGAGATCTTCTCAAGATATTATTCCTGAGACAGCTTTAGCATATACGAATCATAACATACATCATACTTCCAACTACTAAAGCATACGGAGTTAGACGTAAATCCTTCAACTCGAACTTACTTGATAATTGCTTCTTTAAATCCCTAATACTCTCCATTGTACCCTATAATTAGCAGATTATCCACATAGAAAAGAAGCAATATATAACAATTACTAAAATATTTGATTAAGTAACAGCAGTCTGTCTGACACTTCATGCACCCACTGTCTGACATGAACCTTTCAAACCTCTTGTACCACTACCATGGGGCCTACTTCAAGTCATAGAGGCTCTTCTTCAACCTACAAACCAAAACTTCTTTCCTTGGAAGCTTGTAACCCTGCGGTTGCACTATGTATAATTCCTCCTCCAGATCTTAATGCAAGAAAGATGTTTTACATCCATCTACTCCAAATGTAGATCTTCCTCTACTAATAGGCTCAACACAACTCTTCACCACTGGAGAAAAAGCTTTGTGTATCCCTTAACAATAAACATTATCTTGTGGTGTATGCTATTATCTGACTCATCTTTCATCCTATAGACACACTTGTTTTGTAGTACCTTTTGCCATCTAGTAACACTGTGAAATCTCAAGTCTGGTTTGACTTCAATGACTGTGTTTTATCATCCATGACAAACTCTCACTCCCTTAAATTTTTAAATTGAGTAGCCTCCTCAAAGCACTTTGGTTCATCACTATTAGTTAACATTAAATAGTATAACAATAGAAAATACCTGTATACCGAACGTATCACTGTGTTGGACTTCCTGAATTCAGTAGTAGGTGACTGAGGAACTTTTTGTTCTCTATCGAATTGAACACTTGTTCTTTCTCCACCCTCCTGATCACCAATGTCTTATATCTCAATATACTTGAACTCTTTTAAAGTAACTAACGAAAAATCATGAGTTTTGTTCCTATCATTGTATATCTTCATTTCATTGAGTGATATTACTACTCCTAATGAATTTTTTATTCAGATAGCCCTAAAGCTTGTACCCAAACTCATCCTAGCTATATCCAATGAAGGTGAATTGACAGATTTCGAGTCAAACTTATTCCTGGACTCTGCATTGACATGAAAATAAGCATAATACCCAAATACTTTTAGATAAAGAAAGTTTCTTCTGCTTACCATATATACAATCTTCACAGATATTCAAATATATTGATTTCAAACCCTGAAGATTATTTTTAGAGAATAAATACTTCATACATTTCTCGTTCATAAGACCAAGCTTTAGGTGTCACAGACTTGCAGACACCTTAGTTCCAACCACATCAATGAAATTTGACATTTCATTGATCAGAAAAAAAGAGCTTTCGATGTTGCCTAAGCCATCACCATTGCTCATAGTTACCTTTCTCAAATCACCTGCGAAAGTAGCCCCGAACTCTGACTTTATCAACTATCTCACAGATATGAAATTTTTCTTCAAACTTAGAATATGTTTTAGTAAGAGAAATTCCTTTCATGTCCTCCACCATCTTTTCTTGAAGCATTACAGTCCTTCTTGAAATTTTTTTCTTTCCTTAGTTCTAGCATTCTCCTATACCATTTTCTCCGCTTGACCTATATTTTCCTCTTCTAGACTTGAATATGAAGATGTCGATATTCCTTTCCAAATTTCTTCCTTTGTTTTCAGCATTCAATGCAGGACTAGAAGATTTGCTATTTGCTGCCCTTTTGCAAACATCTTCATTCAACACCCATTTCACAATATCAACGAAGTTTAATTTCAAATTTTTTAAAGAGTTACTCACTGTCGTGACTAATCCATCCCAGCTGTCCAACAATGAAGAAAGAATAAACAGTGCTCTAACATAAACATCAAATTTTCTCCCTAGAGAACACAAATTACTCTTAACAGTGTTGAAAATTTTCATATGTTCTCATACTGAATTATCTTCCGCCAAATAATTGTCTTCATAAAAAAAAAATCTTATTTGAAGCAAAATATTTTTCTTACATCTTTGTAAATGTCACCATGAGATCTAACAAAATTTTCTTATTCACTGTATTGAACGCAACTAACAAAAAAGTGATAAACAAATCAAATCTAAGGTTGTTCGATCTATAATCTTCAATCACTCAATAGTCATAAACTGAGGCTTCTTGGTGATTCCTTACAATGATAGATATAGTTTTTTCTGATCCAACAAACCCTCCACTTTCATTGTCTAGAATGTAAAATTCGATCCACTGAACTTCTCTACTTTGTGCATTGTTTTGTTTGTCATTGCTCCCACTCGAATCAAAGCACCTCAGCTCTGATAGCATTTGTTGGAATGAAATTTCATGTATTTATGGAGCTTCAATGAATTAGAAATCAAAACTAAACAGTGAAATGGGATCACACCGATTTAAGAAATCCAGAACAAAATAAAAAATTGAATAGAAGCATAACAAAAAATCCAAAAAAAAAAAACACACCAAGATTTTACGTGTAAATGTAAAAACTCCAAAACGAAAAAAAAAACCATGAAGCTACACAACTAAAAATTTAAACTATGAAGAACTAGAAATGTACACAGATACACACTGAGATCTCTTCTCTACAATAAGTAGAAGTTAAGAAAATTTGCTCCAAAATTTGCTCTCAATTTTACAAGAGAAATGCCTCGCTCCGAAATCCTCCTTCCGACAATCACCTTCACGAGAGAACTAGTCAAGAAACACCGCTCGGGAGGGTCACAACCTTCTTCCTTTGAATCAAAAGTTTTAAACAAAATCAGGAGAGAACCACATCTGGTGCGCGGGAGTGTCGCACTCTCTAGAACAGGGCGCATAGGCGTCCGAAATGCGGCATGGGGCCATTATAGACCCCGGCGCGAGCGTACCGCATATGGAGAAGAGCATTCTGTGCTCTCGGTCTGCAGACGCGGGGGTGCCGTCTAGGTGCGAGTGCGCCACGCCACAAACTTCTCATAGTTGCTCTCTGCTACTGCCGACTCCATACACAACAATAAAATCATTCTTTAAAAAATCTTTTTTTTCTACTTTTATCAGACATTCATCTAAATATTTTCAATGCTATCAAAATTTAGCTATTAAAATCTTTTCTACTGCCCAATATTGAGATTCATATCACCTAATTACAATTTTGCCAAATTTATTGATAAATCTTCATAATTTCCTCTTCATGATAAAATGAAAAACCCAAACACAAAATACCAACCATTAATAAGTTGTAAATGTAAAAATGGTCCAAACAAAATGGAAAGCCCATACCTGATGAGGCTCTAGCTCCTTTAGCTGCGGACTCCAAATTGCACTCGCTCCATAACATCCCATGGAGGCCACGGACGAGCCTATCACAGCTCTTCGCGTCATCATTGGGCCCTTCGCCCGAACATGAGAAGCTGGTGGCTCTGCCCCGGCGCCTCCCGTCTCCATTGACATGACATTTAGGGTTTCTAACATTGAACCCGCCTCTCGCATTCACTTCTAAAAGTCTTATGAGAGCTTTGTGTGTAAAGTGCGCTTGGCGACATCGAGTTTTTGCTGTTTTGCAGAGCTCCGGGAAGAGCGATGGGGCAGGGGACTGGAGGGATCTTTTGGAATTTTGTGCACTTAAGGCAGAGAGATCATGCAATTAAGGGCAGGCAGCTTAAAACTGCGGCAGCGTTTTTGAAAACGCCGCTTTCATATTTGATTAACACGTTTTGGCTGCGTTTTTCCAAACGCAATTTACAGCGTTTTATTTTTTCTATTAGACGCGGATCCAACGTTCGACCGAAGTATTTCCGCACTGCCCTCGAACCCGATCTGCCGAAGGAAGCTGCTGCTCTCTGTCGAGGAAGTCGGAGGCCCGCTGCTCTCTGCCGAAGGAAGTCGGAGGTGGCGCTACGTCCGTTCTCAGCACTGTGTCGGTTCCTTCTTTCCCCCGATCCCGATCCATTCAATTCATTCGCGAAGCCCTTCCC